AGACTATTGATGAACCTCCTGCGAAATGCCTCTTCGACTACCTCCGTGGGTCACGACAAAGATCTTCCCAGTAGCAACGAGATCCACCAGATTAGCCAAAAATGAGCTTTTTTCAGGTTTTCCAAGAAGGTGATTCCACATAGTGTCTTTTGTCCTAAGTTTGTCTGTGTCTCAAAAGCGTTCGTCTGTCCGGGTTCAAAGTCTCACGTTGTGATCTTGTTTTTGAGTGGGAATTCCAACCTTGATCTGCATACGAAGCTTCCTTCATCTTCTCTTATTTCCTGTGCTCATTCGATTGAATGGAACGCCGTGTAGTCAAAACCAGGAAGGTCATTAAAAGCGAACACGAACAGTAGAAGATGACAAATTTGAGACAATACCGGCTATTATTCCACAGGCTCGAGAAGCTGAACACCGAGAACGGCCCCCACTTGGTATCGATAAGTTAGCATCAGGATTCTGGATCTATACTCCATCATACCAAGACGTACATCCGGGTTGACGTGCGTTCTCTCAATTGGAAGATCCTGCAACGTGACAAGCCTGTTCTTCTTCAGAGATATGCTTGCCGTGAAGAGGCATGACGGCAAAATAAGTAGCAAAAATAAAGTAAAATAGGTTAGGAAAATGGTGCAAAAACTTCATCTGCCTCAGGGTGTCCACATAATTTTGATACAAAGAAAAAAAATTCCATGAAAAATAGTTTACTATGCTAGAACGAAATTTCTACGAAAATATCATTGTACCCTCCCCTTCAAAAAGCCAGAAAGTGTGGGTGCAGACCAAACACCACAACTGACGACGGCCTCCAAGTAAATCTGGTTAGAAGTGGTTCATAGTGATAGCTGATTTCTGGTAAATGATAGTTGTAATTAGTGACAACTGATAGAATACAACTGCAACAGGCTAATCATTTCATTGGCAAAAACATTTGCATTTTGTGGAGGCCGTCGTCACTTGTGGTGTATGGTCTGCACCCGACACTTTCTCGCTTTTTGAAGGGGAGGTAGCTTATCAACCACGAGGAGTCCATTGAAAGAGGTTTACGGCAGAAAGAATCTGTGGTTTACTGCTATAAGTTATGTTATGTTATGATTTATTATCGGTAACCAAGGAAAAACACAGACATAACACAATTACATCCGTAATTCCGATAAAACTTAACGACAAGGAAAAAGCAAACTGACAACTAAGGCATATTAGGGGTACGAGAGGGATGGTTGAGAGCACTGGTGTGTGAAGAGCAGTGCCCGTCGTCACTGCAAGTCGCCGTGACGTATGCGCCTCCTGGGTACCAACTTAGTAGGCCCGTCAAACACCAAAATTCCTTGCATGATAGTTCTGGCTTAATGGAAAGGGCATAATTGATGTACAAAACAGTGCATAAAGTGGAAAACGTATGAGTTATAAAAAAATTTACAGCAACAATGAATGCAACGTGATCGGACTCGCAGGACGGTGTACATTAGTGTATAAGTGATTATAACATTCAGAGCAGTCGTCGTTTGAGAGTTAGTTATTACATGCATTCATGTACTCTCCATACCTCTTGGGCCAGGCAGGTCGGTCCTAGGTTGTACTGTTCAAAAGTTTTAGCGCCCCTTTGGGTGAAATGTTGTGATAGACTTTTCAAAACATTTCTACCCAAATTACCATTGGAGGAAGGGGTATATATTACATAAACTCGAAAATTCCCTAATTTCCTTACTTTCATTTTTTACCATATTTTTTTTTATTAAAGATGACTTGGAGCTGTCCTACTTTTGTTTTTAGAGCATAATTTACTCATTTGACTTCAGTTTGGTTTGATATGTGTCAGATTATTGATAGGCACCTAGCGATGCACAAATAATATAATAAATAAATAAATAAATTTCACTGCCCATTTCTAGGGCGCGGGGGTTCATGTAATTTTCGCGCTGCGAATGAGTCGATCACCCCCCTCTACTCTCAAAAATAAGACCTCTTTGCTAGTTTGTAAGCAACATAGGTGCTGCTCCGGGTATCACTACTGTTGATGTGCCTGTAGGATGACTCTTGGTGTAGGGACATTTTCGAAGAACGATTATAATGTTTTATTTGTGACAGTCGGCCTTCATCATGCGCTCCCTTTTCAAGCTTCTCAGAGTGGATGTACATTGACAGGGGAGTGAACTGTGCAGCGAACAGTCGAAAGGTTGAGGCGGTGAATGCAATAAGGATGGTCACACGGTGCGGCGGTAGCCAGTTGCCAAAATAAGCGGCATGAAGTCTGGGCATTTGCAGTTGCTAAACAGTTACGCACAAGCCTAGGAATGCCGTTCACGCTGGGAATGGGTAGTGATATCGCTGTCGTTCAATTTCCATTTTGAACTTTCAGAGTGAAAAGCCCGTATTCTATAGTTTTGTTTCTTTCATTCTACTGGATACATTCAAGCAGACGACAGCACCTACACCATAATCTTGATCAAAGTCAATTGGTGGAGCGCAATGGACGAGCTTTCAACAGCCTCATTTCGTATTCTTCATGGCCACACCAAGATTTTAACCCGTCTTCAATATGTCACCTTCAAATTATCGCACCCACGACTTTCATTCATTCTTATCCCCGGAATTATCATGTAAAAATTCGGAAATAAGGAGGCTTTACTATTTGTGGAAACCATTTCATTCGTGTTTATCTGAACAAAGAGGGGGCTTTTGCGGTTTACGGGCTACTTGATTTTTCCTCAATGGTCCTGCCGCGATGGCTAGAGCACAGACGATTAGAGAACGGGTGAATGCCCTAGGACTAAGCCTTGGAGAGGAGAGGGACCCGCGAGAGAGCGCAGAGGCGGTTTAAAGGGCTGAGTTCAAGTAGTCCGTCGACCGGCTGCGAATAGCAACAGTCCCCAGCAATCCCAGTGGGAGGAAACTCTAGAACGTGTGAACCATTTTGTTCTTTTTCCACGAGCCCTGGGGCTTCTTCACCTGCTAGAATCGGGATTACTATAAGCGGCACGAATTGATGGATCACAAGGCTCCCTTTACTCAGGTGAGTTCACTGATGCTCCATAATAGCACAGCAGTGGAACAAATGCAACGGTACACAACAAACAGCAATAGACGACAACATGGGATATTCGGACTGTTTGAGATTGTGCGTGCTAGTTACATAATTTTCGACTACCCTGAAAGCGTCACCGACTCACCGTCTGATAAGGTGGGTCCACGGAAGTGACATGACGGCCGCCGCACTTGCTAGGAGACGCGTGGATAAGCTGCTTTCATCACTCATATAACCTAACCTAACCTCACTCGTCACGAAACCCTTCCTGGAGCTTAGGAAAATATGCTGGAGACAGCTTCTCGACACGACTTCTATCAAGTGCGCCGGCCGCCTTGGCAAGTTCGTCGACCAGCCTAACCAGACGGTGAAATATGGACTGCGTCTTTTCCACCTTTTTCTTTTTAAATTTTTACAGTTCAGCAATAACCTCACTCATAACACGAAACCCTTTCCGGATGGACAGAATATGATGTGGATTTATTCGAGTGCACTGTTCAAAATAAAATTCAGAGAAACGATGATTCCTTCTAGAAGACTTCTAATGGGGAACGCTATTATTTCCTACAGACAACTGTTCATAGAACGAGAAAACAGGGTGTCATCCAGCAATAGGATAGGGCATGTGGTGTGACGGGTGACGGATCCCTCAGATCAAAAACCTTAGGCCGATGTCAGACTTTGCGAATCGCGCGATTCGCTAGCGTCTGCGGTCGCGTCGCGGCCAGTGAATCACTCAATTGGCTGGTACCGCAACGCGACCGCGGACGCTAGCGAATCGCGCGAATCGCTAGTAGCGAATCGCGCGATTCGCAAAGTCTGACATCGGCCTTACTTCGGCTTTTACACGCACACTCGGGGCTTCCTTTCCGTGCAAAAAGTGAATTACATTAGGTTTTACAAGCTGTCGCACCACATTCCCCACTCCTGCCTCTCAGTGGATGAGACCTAAAAATTGTAAACAGCTACTGCTCACGAAGAACACAGCTAGAAATTTATATTACAGAACGCGATACAATATACACACAAATGGTTAGACACAATCATCAATTCAAATCGAAGATCACTTCGTAGAGGAGGGAAATGTATAGAAGACGGTGTGGCGGTTTGGCACCTTTCTGCGATCTACCAATATGTCGTGCTTAAACCTGCAATAGATTAATTAAATGTAGCGACGTTGAACTAAACCATGCGAAACTTATAAAGCGGAGCCAATCGCTGCGGGTTTGCTCGAACCACCAGAGCAAAACCAATTTGTTGGTCATGGAGCTCTGAGTTGCATCTGAAAATCCCCTCACGCCGTCACTAATTCGATTGGTAGAAGCAAAAAAAAAAACAAAAAAATGATGAGCGCACGCAAATTGCTAACGAGATGAGACTGAAATAAATAAATCTCCTCTGATACTGATAGAAGCCTTGCTACCATCAATAGAAATATCTGATGGAAGCAGGGAATTGCTATTTAGACTTCTGCTGATAGAATGGGCTACTTCAGAGCGCCTCCGGTCCGGATGAGATATCAAAGAAACCATTCGAGAACGGAGAAGGCGGGAAATAACGGAAACAATGCCTCCCAAGCTTGAAATAATTGAGCGCCAGCCATGGCTAGTCAAACTGAATCAGAAGTTACTTCAAGCCCTTCTAATGGTAAGTACTACAAAGTAATTACGTAAGAGGCGCTATTGTCTATGCGATTCTGAATGGAAGGTGAATACGTGGCGTATTCCTGAGGGGTTGTTTGAAACAGGCAAATGCTCATAATTTCCTACGTTTTAGTTTACCATTAGGTGTAGAAAAATGTGGCGATGGGCAGATAAGGCGAGGTCGATCAATCTCGAGTGCGCAGGCGGTTAAGGTCAGAATTGCAGGAGCCTTCTTGTATCCACTTGCAATACATGGGGAACCACAGCCAACCCTATACTTGAGACTTTTTACCCCCACAACCAATTGTAGTAATTGACCAACATCACAGAGATTGAGGAGCTATCGCAAGATACGGAGCCGTCCTTAGGACTAAGCCCAGGAAGGGGTAGAAACTTCAAGAAAAATAAAAAATTTTCGTGGACCCTGAAGCCACTCCTCCCTTGCCTAAGGCTCGTTTTATGCAAAAAGGAAGTGTTGAATACATTTCAACCACGACGCCCCGCACCTTGCGATAGCGCCGATAAAAAAAATATACTTGCTCGTGTGAAACCCGAACTCATAGGCTCTGCAAGCCGCTGGCTTTTTTGCGAGACCTTGTGCTACCCCCATTTTTTAAAAAAGCATTGCAAAACCGTGAGGGAAGACGCGGTTTTAAGATGTTCACAGCGACCACTGTGGAATACTGCTAGCTGCTTTGCAAAAACCCTCGTTCGCCGTTTATACAGCCACCAAGCAATCTAAAAATATCATGGGTACGGTGCTCAGCTATAGGAGTGGAGCTTCAGCATATACAACAGATAGTAAAGAAACTGAAAGTTTTTGAAAAGCATTGTGCCTCTTTCTTGTAGTGAAACCAACTGATGGAAGCTGTTGCAGTCCAGAGACGGGATGAGGTATCCTTGGAGTCATTTTCAACTCATCGCGTAGCAAATCGTCAAATTGTTAGGACATTGTAGCCAGAGCACGTTGGAGAAAGAAAGGCCCAGGTTTTCAAATCATTGCTTCGGCAAGGGGGAGTTTTTTCCTAGCGCTTCGGCGGAAAATCGCGACATCACAAAGACTGTGATAAATGTCACAGGGGAATGAAAACATTTTTAGTGTCGGATGGTTCCTTCCTCAATTCCTCAGAAACCTCTCCTACTCTGCTACTGGTGATCGGGAATTTCATCTCAAGCTGATAGAAATACATGGACAACTGAGAAGAACCAACATTCCCTCGTACATTTCGAGCCTACCATATTCAGAAAATTCGCATGCCTATCCAACTCATATAGTAGCACTAAGGCCTCATCTCAAAGTCAAGTCAGCTTCCAACAAAGAAATGAAGAGATGCGAACGTATGTTTACTCAGAAATTGTAAGCGTATATGATCAACTGAAAGAGTAATGATAAATCGAGCTTGTACCACATGGGAAGTGTAGCGCTCAATGTGTAGACTTGCGGTATTAAAATCAGCATAGCACGGCGTTTATTTCATGCAAAGCAGTTCAGAACGCCAAATGCTGGTAATTTTCATACAGTCAAGACCACGTTAGCCCCCATTGAGCGCTAGCCCCATTAAGCTCAACCATAAAAACACTGTACCTTGCCAGTTTGTCCATGATGGAATGTGTGTGACTCAACTCCACCGTGTCCATAGCCTCGAGGTCCAAACAGTGCGCCATAGCACCGGTTGCAGTATGGCTTTCCGTCACGCTGAAAATAACGATTGAGGATTGCAAACCATGGAATCCTCTTTTTGAAAGTGAGCTACCATCTTATTTAGGAAGTTTCCTAATTCACTGTCCGAGAGACTTAGTAGGACGCAAAAAAACATCATTTTTCTTTGCTCGATATGTTTCGATTCGCCTCAGCCCATAGCATTTGAAAGGAAGTAAAAGATACCACTTGTTCGAAAAAGAAAAAAACAAATATTTCAGGAACTGAGGTGTTCCTCGGGTTACGGTAGCATGGCTCTAATAGCGCACAACTGCGCCCACCGTAATATTGCAGATGTGGTGAGGTCTAGTCTGTACATCTTGTTTCTCCTTTTTGTCATCTTCACCTTTACTTCGAGTCAACAGGCTCCCCTTTCCCATGCGGTCACCTTGACAGTCGTGAAATCGCCCACCCTTGGAATCCTGTGGGCATAAAGAGATCCCAATTCAAGATTTTGTAGCGCCTTCTCTTGATTCAGACTTCGATGCTGAGCCATCTAATCCCTCCCTTCGTAGTTCATTGACATCGAACTATCGTAACCGACCGCCGCTTTCAATTGACCACACCGTGGAGTCCCCCCCCTCTCCTTGACTTAGCCTAAACTGAGCATTATATGCTGATCTATGACACATATCCCTGCTTGATCGAAACGATACTGTACCTCTGAATGACTTCCGGCGGCAAGGGTCTTCTTGCAGGCCTCATTCTCACATCGCAAGCACGGCCTGTGCCAATCCTTTCCGATGGACGTGACTCGTTCAGCTGCAATGATGGGAGCTCTCCTAGCGCGACAACTATCAAATAATTTAAGCGATAAACTCACCGAAGTAGACGGGTTTGTTACAACGAGGGCAGTTTGGCATGTCGTTTTAGTGAATAAAACTGAAAATAGGAAACAATAGTTAGAAGTGGACTGCTCTTCTTCGACGGCGGAGTGAAAATGTGAAACACTCCGAACAGATAAAAAGCGATATGGAGCATCATCAGATTCGGAGAACAGATAAACACGTGCACGTTGCCATTAGCACGTTCAATTTCGCTCACACGTGATTTGGCGAGCAGCTGGAGAAGAAGCAGAGAAATTCGGAGAAAAAAATAGGGAAGAATTGACCGTAAAGCGCAGAAATCATGGGAATTTGGCGCTCATGTTCTTAAGAGGGGGGGGGGTGGACATCACAACAGAGCCGATGGTAGGTGACACTTGGGACTAAGCCCAGGAGAGGGAGAGAAACGCCAGGGAGAACACATACATTGGCTTGCATATTCCCCATATAAATCCCTTTCCCTGCCTAAGGCTCAGTCCCAAGTATAGTAGGCTCACTAACTAAATTGCCGCCCCCAACGACATGAGCGCCAAAAACTTTTTTTTTGAATTTAGAGATTTTTTTTAGAATTAACTTTTGAAGAGATGCGACTACCTTAGAGGAGACCTTGCTACAATTCAGCTAGTACTTTGAGCGCATGTATGTCATGCATAGGCCTTTAGAGGCAGTGAGCACGGTGGGGAGAAGGCGGGGCGGTTTCAATGACGTTTCACTGCGCGCATCGTTGGTGGAATAATGAATGTTACGAGGTACTCCCAACCGCGCTGTGGGGTATGGTCGACCTTTGGCGTTCAGTGACATCGTCAAAACCGCTCCGCCTCCTAACGTGCTACATTATTTTACCTCAACTATAGTAAAATTCAGAAATCCTAGAGTGCTGAGTGCTGAAGTAGTAATGTTCAGAATTGCTTGACATGAAACTTTGGCAAAGAAAACTTCGAGCGAACTTGTTTCAGACGTAAACCTGTTCACCAAGCGAGGTAACTGCATTGCAAGTGTCTCAAGTATTCAGTAAAACCCATGCTGTTTGTACAATTGAGTTACTAGTCTGTTTATGGTCCAGGAACCTGTCAAGTGCAGATATGAAGCGTGGCACACATGAAGGTGGAGCCCTTGACAGCCTTGGGCAGAACAGCTGGGGTGTTCTAGCAGAATCATGGTAATCCTTCGTGTAAGATAGGTGTCATAGTATGCGAAAAAGCGATCGCGTGATGCTAGCGATTGGTCGGATCTCCAACACATGCCTGAGCAGCGACCGGTTTAGGCTTCCCACGCTACGATTTTGGTCACGATTCTTATTTTGAGAACAAAAAAATGACTGAATGAGGTCTCTTCAAATGATTGGCGATAAGGTTGGTAGCTTCAGTGATTACTGGTAGGCTATTTGGTATTTCATTCACTGTTCTTCACCACCGATTATTCTTCCCAGATATAAAGGCACAACCCAGGCAGAAGTCGTGTGAACTATTCTCTTCGGTCTGTAGGATAGACCCCCAGAGGCAATCACAGATGTGGCACTCCCGTGCATGGAACCGACCGACAAGAACGCTAGGGGCTTGCAAAGTAAGCTGCAGCAGCTGCAGTGTTTTCAAGTTGTTGCCTCATCTGTAGCGCTTTTTCGCCTCATACTCTCCTCTCCGCGCTTAGTCTCTCATTCCCTTAGCACAGCCGCATTAGGAAGGTGAGTGAGCCCTTAACCTGAGCGTTTTCGACGGATTCTTTTCCTTTTTTCTTCACTGCCGGCCCATTTCGTATCCGATATTTCATATGCGTGTACAAGTGCCACATCGGTTTGATCCTGTGACATCGCTTTAACGTTTGTGGTGAACAAATAGGCGTATCCTGAGACGAAATTTATCGCTCCTTACACAGTGGAAGGAATTCATATTATCTCTTATTCCCAATGAACAACTACTAACGCTGGTAGCCCGAAGACATCGCTCGCATGAACCATCGCGCCAGATTCATCAATAATTCGGATGACTAACATCCTTACTTCACTTAAACGTCAGTGATACAAATCACACAGGAAAATCCAAACGATCCAGATAGATGGCCAAATTCGCTTTGATTATTATAGAAAAGCGCTTTGCAGCTGAGAAACATTGATTTGATTCGATGAAAGAGATGACAAAACAAGGGATTTGTCTCCACAGAATATCACGTAGCATATACGCTCGGATATAGTCTCTCCAAAATCAAATTTGGCCAAGCCCACTCGAAAGTGTCCAGTTCTTTCCGAGCGAACTTGCACTAGGTCCCTAACACACCAGATAATCAGTGATCAGATTATCAATGATCCATTCCTCCAACCAGGCCAGAAAGGCACACATTTGACGATGATAAATTAGGATGCAAAAGTATAAAACAAGAAATGCTAATGATTAAAGTGCTGCTGCCAGAAATTCATCTGGAAGCAGGTGATAGGATAGATTGCTTCCGGTTAGGAATGGAAGTAGAGCTGCTAAGGGGTATAACGAAGAAAAGGGAAACAGTTCAAGCTGTGTTTGATGATGAACTTCAAATCAAGCTGTGGTTGATGATCGAAAAGGGGGGTGAAGCCAAAACTATTTCCTTCATCGACCCGATCGATCCAAAGTTGTGTAAAGACCCATTGACGGAGTAGCCAATGGGTTCAACGTGGCTTGTTTTCCTCTCGTTCTACTATAGTGAAAATTAAACATATTTTTGAAATGCACCCCCCCCCTCAAAAATAATCCTATCCTTTCATTTTGAACCAGTCGAAATTACCTTTGGAGTTGAAGCCTGAAAGCGTGAGCTAAACTTTAGGCGCCGAATAGAAAACAACGGATGTTTCTCCATTCCTTTTCATGGATTAAGAATCATACAAGGAAAATGTTTCGAAAAGCGATGACACGTGTTGCGAAATGAAGGCTACCGTTGAAAAACAACACAGATGGTGAGAACCGGATTCCAAATGCAAAGTGAAGTTCCTTTCAAACAAAGGGCGGGCAGTTTGCCAAGAAATGAGACTATGAATGTCCACCTGGCCACAAATGCATGGCATAAGATGCAAAGGAGATTTCTCGGAGAATTCGGTGCAACCCTCTCCTATGAAAGAATTCCAGGATCTATTCCAGTAAGGGAGGAAATTCTGGTGGAATCAGTTTCGCGATATAGATATGAACCAGTATACGCAAGGCCGGGAGGTCGGCGGATGAACCACAATGGTGAGGCCAAAGGTGTTCGATATGCCTTGCTCCGTCTTAGCTTTCATACAATAACGCTTTTTGGAGAATGTCGAACGTTCTGGCGATCTGCATGCGCTCGTACTCCACTCTCGGCCCTACAGGAATGGACCCTAACTCCACTTTTTGTGGTCAAAAGAGTCTGCAGTGCACAGATTAGTTCACTTCATCGCACGGCAAAGCATCACAGGGAAACCCGATATGGTTGAGCCTACGACAGCACGGGGCACACTTCTAGCATAGATCTATTTATATGGTTGATTCGAGATCCAATGAATCACATTCTTGCTGCTAGAAATAGATACGGAGAAGAAGAGAAGTAAAAGGAGGGCCAGCTAATGAATATCCCAATTCAAACATGAGTTCACTCTAAATGCTTTTTTTTTGAATTGCAGGGTCTTCCGAGAAATCCTTAACCCGATAGCACCAATAGGGTAGCAAGAGAAGGACAGAAAAGACAAATGAGGTAGAGAGAGGGTAGAAGTTGGATGCTAGAAAAGAACGCGCTGAAGTTCGTGCTTCAGCTCGGAGGCTACACAAACAGCTTCTCCGAAAATCACTCTCTAATAGAATCTCTTCCCTCATTGCTCTCACGAGTGCTATCGAGTAGTTCTTCTCATTATGTAGATTCTTTTCTATTATTCATGCGAATTGAAGGAGCTTCGGAAGACATGGTGGTCTGGCAGTGGAGTTCCTGTTAGGAAGCGTAGACAGCATTTGAGGTGGTTTACATAATAACTTTGTTGGGTATAAACTGCCGACAA